CTTGGTGGATGTCACTAACGGTGGATACGAGGGTCAGGAACGGGTAAAAAAACGATCTCTCGTAGACACGAACCACGACAAGCTTTCGATGCGGCTCACTGCTTGACGTAGAGCGGATCCCGTTCTTGTCAAGCTGGTCCTTAACCCTGAATTCATACCGGAGCGGAATGACTTTCCATTTTGGCTAAGTTCACTCAGGAGGTGAGCGCTTCTCAAGGTAATTTTATTTCCTCAAAGAGAACATTCACTGTTACTTTCCCACGCAGAGAGTTCCGTGAACCGAAAGAACGTTCGTGGTGACGGATTCCACTTTTGGCTGCTGCTGACGCAAATTTCTCGCCTACAATTAGTCTTCGGCCTCCAAAGTGTATTCCGTGCATGGAATCCAAGAAGGATAACTCACGCCGGTGGCAAAGGGTGCCAGTGGTCGAAGAGTTGTTCCGGCAGTGACGTCGAGTCTTTCTCTGATAAGATTTCCTTCTCCGTTCCATGGCCGAGGCATCTGTCTCGATTCGAGCCACTTCAGGCCTACGATACGTCAAGCGAAATCCGGTTTCTTCCTCAGAACCCATTCAAGCGAGTTTCGGAGAATCATTGGATTTCCGAAATGTCGAACCTTCGCGAAGAAACTCAAGAGCACATGTCCTGTATTTTCCTCGAGTGGGAGGAAACAGTGCGGTGAATCCGGACCCTCTGATAATAACCCTCTGGAGGCGGATTCGGAGGGATCGTCGGAGAGCAGACCGATTGAAGCATCCGCGGTTTCATAACACTTACTTTCTCTTTTTCTCGCTCGCTTCTTATGAAACGAATCTCAAGGCCTCCACGTCTTCTGTGGATATGTTCCCAGCTCGCAAGTTGGAAGCGCGAGAATGAATATTTTCTCCAATATCGTACTTTGAGGAACTGCCGTGCGATTCGATCAGACACCGTTGCTCCCGGGGTGTAGAGTTTCCATGCGGCGGCGCCGTCAGCGAGGCACCGATTCCCTCGGGTCGCACTATCGAAAGCCGGAATTCCCTTCGAATGTGTCGACGGACGCTTTGAGGAAACGGAGGATCTCGATTCTTTGTTTCACCGATTCAGTCTCGTACAAGACGACGCCGACGGCGTAAACCGAGCCGTCTCTCGACCGTAGCGTTTATAGTAACAGTGAGCACTAGAATCTGCTACCGCTCGAAGACTCTGTTGAGCACATTCTCTTTTAGATAGATTCCGATCGCGTTACTCGACGACGGCCCTGAGCAGACGAGCGACCGTTCCGTTTGTTCCTGTTCGGTCTAGCGAAGCACGCTTCGGGGGGCGAGGAGATGCACGTGTTCTGTATATATCCACACACGAACGGCAGAATAGGCGTCCGAGAGGCGAATACGGAAGTCCCGGCGTGATTGGTACTTTGTTGCACTTGGCTGACTGACTGACCGACTGACTGACTGACTACCCAACTGCTTGACTGAGTTGACGACTGACTGCCCGTTCGCACTTCTGCCACAGCCGCACGCAGGAGGTCGTTACACGATATTCGAACTCGCTCGTGGACTGCTCCGCATGATTCGGTGAGAATCATACCGAGTTCTTCTCTCATCCGGCCGGAATTCGTGGATCCTCCAATTCCATGCAGAGATTTCGATGCGAACTTAAATCAGAAGATAAAGTTCGCTCATCAGCGGCTGAACCCGCAATCTTCTCCCTAAGCGGGTGGTGCGATTTCTGCGATCGGACGCTCCTTCAGAAAGCCCGACCCGTCAGTGCCGTACATGTATGCCCTTCGATTGCGAAACATGAATCCTCTTCTCAGAATCGAGATCCAGAAACGGAAGCTTGGAAATTCAAATTTGCAGGAATCCGCTGGCTAATCAGCATGTACGCTTGGCAATGAACTCGGAGCTTTCCAAGAGAAAATCATCGCACACAGTACTCCCACTCCCAAAGAGCACTGCATTCCGATTCGAATATGGGCAGAAACTCAGCGACCGTGACATTTCCAGCGGAGCGATACGAGAACAGATGGTGGCAAACAGTCGAGGGAGTCGATCGATCCAAACTCTGACTGACGACGAGACGTCGTTGCCGTTATTGGAGGGATCTCGATTCCGTTGGTCGTCTGTCTGAATCCTCTACATGAGACGAGAAGACTGGAACCGCGGACGTCCCCCCTCCCGTTCGAATGTATAGGTGTCACAGATCGCTGCTGTCGCTGTTTTCGGGCCTTTCCTTCCTTTCTAGATGCAGAGCAGCCAGCTGGAGCAAATGTTCTTTCGCGCTCGCCAGACGGCCCGAGCTTGGCGCCCCCGGTGGCAGACTCGAGAAGGTTCCCGAAGGTACGGGCTGAGCTTGCGGAAGTTGCTGACAAACTAGGTGGGAATTTCCATGCTGGATCGATCCTCCGTCAACCCTGACTCATTTACCAAAGGTCGACCTGTTGACATTCGTGTCGTGTCGAGATCACACGCTTGAAGGTCACGAAGCAGGAGCTAGGGTCTCTGGTCTCTCCTTAGGACCTCAGAACCGAAAATCACCGTTTACTCGCGGCATTATCCATTCTTCCCTCAGGCCGCGAACAACGCTGTTCGCCGCGGCTCTACGTTTTTCTTCAGCTAATTAACGTCGAAGGCGTTCAGACCGGCAGTCATATCGGGTCTCGAACTCTAGGAGCCCGCTCCGAAGCGACAGGTCGCGGAAGCTTCGAAATTTTCGCGCGGTCTCGCCGGTACCCTCACTCGCGTCAATGACCTTGAGACTGGAAGGCCTTGAGCGAGGTTATTCGAAGTCGCATGCTGACTCCACGTCGAACAGTGATGCCCGGGAGCAGATCCTAAATTTCTGGAGCGGCGGCGAACGCCGGACCTCAATCAGGCGATGCGCTCACTGAATTCCAACAAAAGCGAGCATCGCCTTGCATGGGTCGTTTATATTCCCGACACTGCTCCTGGAAGCAGGCGGTGCACGTGGAAGCGGGACGAGGGACCCTGATCTCGAGCGACCTTGAAATGCTCCCCGTGCATTTCCCGAACAGAAGTTGTGCCCTCCGGCCGCGTGGCCGGGGTTTGGAGCGCTGTTCAGAGCTGAGCAGGCTCTTCCAAGGAGAGCACATTAAACTAGAAAGCAATTTGCATACTATACGAGACCACTCGGTCGGCCTCCACATCATCATCAGCGCGAAGCTCTGGGTGGAAGGGGCCGCTTCCATTATCAACCCTCGTGCTTATACTTCCTGATTAAAGGAGAGATAAATATACTTCGGTTGACAATGTTTTCGGATGCTCCATCATGAACATGTCTGGCAAAGTTCGGGAGAGAGTCGGTGAGGACACCCTAAGTACAACAACATCCCCACGGAAATCATTAGGAACTTCTATCCCGGCTTAAGGTTCCTCATCCAATAGCAGGGAGCGAGGCTCTTCCTGAACGAAGGTTGCACACGTCGAGCGAATCTACTTTGGGTCCATCGCAACCGGGTAGGTGCCAGACGTGTCGTGACCGATATCATCAATACTCCTCGGAACAGAGCCTCAATTCGAGGCATTTTCGGCCTTTTTTCCGCAAGGTCCTTCCCTCGATTCTGCCATCCAGTGAAGTGTTCCGTTATTTTTTATCGTCGATGCGTGATGCGACGATTCGCGGCGTCGTTAGAGATACCTCACGTATTCTCCGAGCGGTACCAACACCAGAATTCCGTTACGAAATTGATCTTTGCGGAGCGTCGTCCGATTCTGATGTCTCCGCGGCCCGTGAGCGTTCCTCGAATTTTCCTCCGGATCGCATTCAACTCGTCTCAGGCCGACGCTCGGGCGTTGAACCGAAGCGATTACAGAGAGGGCATAGAAGTTTAGACCTAGCAGAGAAAAATACCCGAGAAAGGATTTCCCACCGTGCTTCCCTCGCGCGCCAGAGACCTGAATCATCGTTGTTCGGCCTTTTCCACGAAAATGGACGGCGAGACTTTCCCCGCTCGACGTTACAATCGTCGTCCGATATCTCGGAATATGCAGGAACACTGTCCGATCACGTTGCCTCGTCGGGCGCGGCTTCGGTACTTGACGCCAGGAGCGCTTCCATTGCTCTTCTTGACGTTCGTCCGATGACTCCGGTGCCCGTTTTCGCATCTCCCTACGGAGCACTGGGCTAGTGGGTTAAACCCTCACCGGAAAACTTTCACCGGCATCGAAGCCCCGGAATTCCCCTCTTCAACAATGGAAGAGGGGAACAAACTGCGCGCCGAGCTGCGACTCCGCTCGACGTTGCATCACCATTCTGCTCCAGCGCGGCCAAAACCATCACCGCAAACGAACGACGGACCGACGAGCCAAAGGACGGACGGACCGACGGACGGATCCACGAACCCGATCGCCCGCCGCTTCATTCATCCTTGCACTGCAATCGGCGGGAGCCGAACCGTTTGTCGCCGAAAGCGAGAGTTTTGTGGAGCTCGGCGCCGGATCGAGCCGCTGCTGGTGCCGCCGCCGCAGCCGCCGCCGCCGCTGGAAGTATCGTTGATTGCGGGCCGTTCGATCGCGAACTCAAACCGGCATTTGGCATCGACTCAACTTTCGTCCACAGGTTCAATTTAGGACCGGTCAGCAAGCCAACTAAGCTCACGATATTTACGTACGCGAGGAACATTTCTCTGCTCCGGAACATTTTGTCTTTTTTCTCGTGTCTGTGACGATCCCGCTAAATTCGGAAATGAATTTGGAATGCGGGAATAAATTCCCAAAATGAAAGATTGCGGGCCTAGGGTAACTCGCGGACTATTGTTCTTCCTCGCGGGCTCTTCGAGCGATTCGAAACTCGCGACCCGAAGCGAGGAGCCCTTGCCGCATTCTCCGGTCTCGCACGAGTCGACTCGGCTCTCCGGGTAGACCGACTCGACCTCACTCTGAATGAATGAGTGTAACTCTATAGTACGCTAAGCGCTCTCCACTTCACAAGTCAATGGCTCCGGCGTTCACCGGAGACTTTTTCCCCTCAACAGTCAAGCCTGAAATCCCGTTACTTACAATTACTCTGCTCCTCCGGAGACTGGGGTCCGTCGTCCACAGTGTTTTCATTAGGTCCCAGATCATCGAATTGGAACATCATCTCCTCGTAAACTCCGATAGCTGCGGCGGCCATTTCGAGGTCGTGGGAACGTTCACCAATGGATAGCGAAAATCTTCGAGGACTTAGCTTCACCGAGCAGCTTGCCTAACTCACTTGAGGAGACAGCAACAAACAACACGAACACGGGGAACGGTCCGCCTGAGCAGCGTCCGCCGCCGCAGCCGCATGCCCTAGGGAAAGGGAACTCGCTGAGAAAGAGAGCGCTCGGTGGTAAGGGATGGGACTCCCCGTCATCATCATCGCCACCACAATCAAAATCATCATCATCATCGCGGCTAAGGTGTTGGTTGGGTGGCGCAAAATCGCAATGCGGTCCTCCACAGCGACTCGTTCCCCCGTATGTAGAATGGTCGGTCGGTCGCCGCTCCCACCACGGCTGTCCGAGAGTCGTAGCTCGAGATAAGAGGAGCTCAACAAAAACGAATTCTCGACCTCCAGACACACATCTGTCATACGATTCTCGGGGAGCGCTGCATTGTGGGACGGCCAACGAGTATTACCCGTATTCCGCACGAGGATGGTCGCGCGAATGCAAATTTGTGAAGCCATGTTTTTGTTTTCAAATCGATAGCCCCCGACCAGATGGAATCATGTTAGTTTGAATCCGCTCACATTCACCAGCTCGCTCTGATCCGCCGGCCGGCTCAGATTCTTCGATGGACACTCTCGGAGGGAATTCCTGTTGATCTGAAGCAGCGCTCCTAAACCGAAAAACGCTACCCCGCGGCTATTATATTGAATTCTTGAAGTACGACGGGATTCCGTCGTCAAATGTTCCCGATCCCCCCCCCCCATGTGCGGCTCGGCGTGAGAAACGGAAATAGCCTGTGGCACTGTGGTGACTTGTTCCTAGCTAAGGCTTTTCGGGCTGAGCTATCAGCTCCGGCCAGTCATCGGGGGTGACTCTGGAGTTTCCGCGGTGAACACCATGATTTTGGATTCTCGCGAATTTTTCGTGGAGTCCGCCCAGGCGTCCCACAAAGTCTCCGCGGACATCCGTACGGAGCGGTCTGCAGCCCCATTCGAATGGACGGCTCCTCAGGCGAGACAAGGTCGGCGTCGTTTTACGGACCGGAGGTGGCGATGCGAAACTGTGCAAATCACTACGAGCACTTGGCGTTATGCCGGCACTTTACTTTCAGGAAGTGGATCAATCGGACTAGGGAAGCTGGCGCGGAAGATGAGAATAAAAAAAGTCCCAAAAATCATCTCTGGAACCTTCAGCGCTTTGTTCGCATCAAGGCTCACCGATCACAGTTTCGACGGATACGAGATCCGCACGAGCATGATGGTCTGTTCTCCGAGTCCAGAAGGATTCGCTGCCTCGCTCGCCATTCACGCATCCTTCTTCCGACTGAATGCAGGAGTCGCCTCGGAAAGGGTTCTGGGAGATTCTCGAATTCTCGATCTCCACAAGCCCGATCGCGAGCATTTTGTGTGAGTTAGCACGAATGAACGAGAGCATCGCTTCCCGCCAGGTAGGAGCTCGTTGGGGTGCCCGGTGTCATCCGATCCTCACATCCATGTACACTGGCGTATGACACAGCGCGTCCTGGTAAACTCCGAGGGATAGGATCCCCTCTGCCCAATATTCTCATGATCTTTCCGAGGCGATCCCTCCGGGGAATTTCCGGGCTGCTACACTAGCTGTAGAGATCAATCGATATTCGGGAATTCGGGCATAGATGTTCATGGTTCCCCAACATTCCTGAGAGGCATTCCATGCCATCGCATCAAATTCTAGTAATCAGGGTCGTATGGTACCTGTCCCATTGAGAATCGCGTTGAGCGGCTATCGTGAATCATGACTCATTGAGAGACATCCTTCAGGCTAAATCATTCTGTATAGGTGGATCGCTCTGTTTCCCTCTAACATCCGTAAACGGCATTTCGTGAGCGTATTACTCATGTCGACGAAACGCAATGCCAGAACATGAGATCATGAGTGTGGACTCACCCGCGACAGCTCATTAGAACGCGCACCTAAATGCCACCTCAGTTCGATTAAAATTGCCGCTGAATAGTCAATAGGTGAGGCAGTCCCTACATCAATCCCAGGTTTGCATTCTCCTAAAGAACATGATCGTAGGTCTGAAGCCGGCTGCCGCCCGCGCTCGCTCTCGGATACTGCGAAGTTTTCCAATCAGAGGAGCTCCACGGTACCCGACCGTCCCTTGAGGTTTCTCGCGCAACGAGGAGCAAATATCCGATGGCCCAGACTCCATCGAGCGTTTCCCATTCGGATCTAGGTATGTATATGTACCAAGCTGTGCAACATATGTGACTCGAGCTCTGTGGCGAGGATTTGACACTGACAGAATGATTGAAGAAACATGAAGGAATTTTACGGGACACTGCCGAATTAATTCTTTCGAACCCTCAACCTCCCCCCCCCTTCGAGCTCCCAGAAGACGCCGTCGATAGAGGGACATCGCCAAGAGAAGAAATGCGAGTGTGATCTACGACCTTCAAGATGGAGACAGCAATGGGGGATCGTCTCTCCGATCTTCGAATCCGGCCGCCGATGATTCAGAACGGCGGGAAAACGAGCTCACTCCCGATATCGCCTCGTGGGCAGTTCCGTCGCAAGCGAAGTCGACTCCGGGCCCCGGCATGCCAGGAGCTCTTCTCCGCGGCGAGTAGATTTATTAATAAATTGAACTCCATCAGAATTCCACGCCCCCCCTCCCTTACACTGTCGTAAGTTGAGAGGATGGAGATACCTGACGGTTCATTATGATTATCATTCACACATATAACGAAGCGGAACAGATGATTCTGCAATGAGCGTGCTCTTCTTAGAGCTGGTTCAGATTCGGAGCTTCCTCTCGCTGGACGGAGTCGTCGTGGACACAAGCTAACTAAGCTGATCCTTGTAACGCTACGCCTGTTATTTGGTATCGATGAAGCCACTCTGACGACTGTTTCCCATTGCCAAACCTTGTGAACAGCTGCGTGCATATATATCTAGATAGACAGATGATATCCTAATATCAGAGCTTGGGCGGCCGAGCAAACAGGCAGGGAAGTGAGCAGGCAGGCCGACGGCCAGCAGACAGGCGAGCGCGTAAGCGCTCGGGTAGACAGCCGGCTATTATATCAAACTAATCTTGGCTAATCGAGCGCGGGTAGACATTTCGGTCAGCTCCCGCTTGATCGCGACTCTTATATTGGTGTCGACGCTGACGCCGGCGCCGTCGTCAATACTCGATGGTCTCCGATCCTTATTGGGCGCTTCCGACCTATTCCGAAGAACTGTTTGGTCAATCGCTTTCGACCATTATTCTTGCCAACTTATCGTCGGAATATGACAGTCCTTCGATTGTCGGAGAGAATTCCTCCGAGCCTAACCTGGAAACCCCCCCCCCCCCGAGGCGCGTGTGCAACCCTTACGTTCCGAGGGCTCTTTCAGGCATTCGAGAGGCGGCACGATCGCCGAGGGTGTTCAAGGATGCAGAGCAGAATGCGGAGCATCCCCAGGCATCGTACGGTTCCGTGAGTATCCTCCGATATTTATCCATCCAGAACGAGGCGGAGCGGTCTGACTGAGTCTCTGGAGCCCTTTCAGAGTCGTGAGTCGTCATTGCATTGCCATTTATCCTGGAAGCTGGGAAAGGACTATCAGATTACCTCTGGACGTCGAGATGAGGAGTGAACCCCGTCGCTGAACGTCAAAAATAATTCCTGCCTCGGTTTCTGAGATTCTAGCGATGTCCGCTCAGGATTGCCGAGTTTCGCACGCGGCTCTCTGGCAGATCCATGTGTCTCTCTTTTCCTCATGCTGGTCCCAATCTTAGCATGAGGTATCGGATACTCTCGCAAAGGAGCGCTGTTCAGCCGTCGGCCTTACCTCAGACTGCGACCTCGATCGTGATCATGATGGAGCTCACAATTTCTCTATGATTCCATCGGTGGAGAGTTGAGTAAATATCATGCCGCTTCGGGGTGATGCATAGAACCCACGAGAATTCTTCGACATAAGAATGAGGTCTCGCGCTACTCTGCGGATCATTCACCGTAGTCTCGAGATTTATTCTCAGCGCTTTATGTATGAGCCTTTCAGTCAAGTCTCGCTCATGCAATCAATGCTTCTACATGGTTGCTTGGCTGGGAATTCGCCAGAATTACCTATAGACGGCGAGCCAGTGAAGGAACCCCGAGTTTTAGTGTCCTCCGTTCAAATCCGACCGTGTCAGGCGATGTTCATCTTTTCCGGGATTCCGATGATCGATATCTCGATCGATCGCCGCTCCCGTATGAATGATGCCTATCACGAGGACTCTCCGAGCTGGAATGAATGACCGATTGTATGCGATAGGACCCACAGGGTTTGAAACAAAGCAGCGTGAACCTCGACGGTGAGCTTACCGACGATTGACTCTTCCGTCCCGCTTTGGTGGCGACCGACTCCGCGACGAATTTCTGCAGAGAGGAAAGTTTCCTTCAACAACTGAGGACCTACGTTGAATCTCCGGTGTTGGTTCATTATAACGATTAAATGATGTTGTGAGGCATGATCAAACTTCGTACATACCGGGGACCTCTCGCGCTCCGATTAGGCGACCTGTGAGAAGATCTGTGTACCGGACTTCTCGACCTGTTTCTGTGGTCTGTCGCGATTTCTCTCTCGGGGCGATCTCTGAAAAGGGACGATGCAGTAGCTGGACCAAATAAATGCTCTCCCCTTCAGTCTTCGAGTTATTTGAGCGTCGTTTGGTGGTTACTCCGACGAACGTATGTGAGATTTGAATGGCGCTCCTTTCACTGGGAATCTGCCGAAGCGCAGCAACCTCCGACTCCCCTACTCGCACAACATGGAGGCAGGACCCACTGAACATCGGGGTAACCTAAGACGAAAAGAGTAAATCGCCGGAGGAGAGGACGGTTCCCCGGTTCATAAGCGTCATCCGCCAACGTGCGGAAAGCGGAGACGGAAATTCGCTACTGATTGTCAAAACTTCGGCCACCGGTTCTGTGGAGCAAGCCTCACTTACATCTTCATACGATCAGAGCGCTCCTCCTTTGTCTCGGGGAGTTTCGTCGTAGACTTGGGGGAAGCGGATGCGGAAGAAGAATCTGAGGATGAGCTGGGAGCCTCTTTGAATCGTTTTTTGATTTCTTTCTTGAGTGCCTTCAATTTTCTTTTCTGCTCTTTCTTGAGTTTCTTCGCGGCTTTCTTGGCTCGTTTCTTCTCTTTCTTTCGCTCCTTGCGGCCAGCACTATCCTCATCATCCTCATCACCGCTCTTGTCCGACTGGGAAGCGCCACTGCCCTGGGGTTTGCCCTGCTCGCGCATGACTTCCGGTGCGCAGCCTTTCTCATGGAGCATTTTCGTAAGCTCGTCGTACTCGTCGCTGTCCTTCGGTGGCTTGTAGTTCTCCACGTGATCGACCCGGAACGTCCGATTGCAGATCTGGAATATCGCGGTGGAATGCGATTTAATACGCCGATTCATTCATCGATGGGAGTTTTCCCTGAAGCTTTGAAGACCGATGGGATCAGGAGCCTTGCTATAAGATTCCACTACTAACCTTCGCTCCGTTGAAATTATCGATGGCGAGTATTGTCGATCGTTGATCCTCGTAACAGATGAAGCCGAAACCGCGGCTTTTCCCGGTTTCCTTGTCACGAACCAGATTGATGTTCACGATTTCGCCGTATCTGGAAATAAGAGCTCTGTTTAGGGTGGTAGCTCTCACGCAAACTGATGCTAGAAGGCCAGGCTGAACGGGACAAGGATCATTATTCACTAATCCGCTTGCTTCCGGGAACTCACTGTGAGAATATGCACAATAGGTCTCCTTCGGTAAGATCGAAGCTGACGCCGCCGAAATAAATCCATGCCGAATTCTTGTACTTTGAATGCCAGCTTTTCTCGTGGCCTGTCAGGCCCATTTGCAGTTCCCGGTCATTTATTTTCTGGAGGTTCCTTACGTTTCTGAAAAGGAACAGTCAATGCTTACGATTCCGTTTTCTTGATCGACGACGCGCGTGTCCCCTCGCTGTCTCGGGTCTCCCTGTCTTCCAGGCGATTTCTGAGTGCCTATAGTCTATGCTTTATCCTCATAGCTCGATATTCCGAATTTCGACATAGTGTTTGTATGAGCATATGATATGTCGAGGCAGCCCTGGACGGTGGACACTTTAAGCGTCCCATTCCGGGCTCACGAGATACGATAACATCATCATTCCAGCCAATATTAACAAACTCACGTTAGTGGATTCATTTTCCGGCCGCCGTAAGGCTTTTTTCTCGATGGAATTCGATTTCGAGCACGATCTGTGGGCCGTGAGACTCCCGCCGCCGCTCGTGTTAGCAGGCGGCCACAACAAAGATAAAGCTGCACGCTCCTCGTACGGCGCAGATACGAATTCTTGCGAGATAGCTCAGGACAATGCGTGTTTGTGGTTTGAGGGATGTGCGTGAAACAAGAAGGCGCGCTGAAGTCACAAAAGAGGGGATCTTTCGACGGCAGAGCCAGGATAATGATGCTGGTGATCTTTGCTGGAGGCTTGGCTGGAAGTGGGGCGGTTCTATTCACACTTCTCCGGTTCTCAAAGAAGTTCATACTACGAAATCAAATAAGATCGGACCGAAAACCATCGGATCACGTCAAATTGCATCTGGATAGTGGCGAAATCATACGGGATCACGGTGAAATCGCGGAGGGGGTTGGTTATATTGCGGAGCTGGCCTCGATCGAGGGTGAAGGTTCAAACCGCACGGAAAGTTAGATCAAAACACTCACACGGGGATCCCGGGTCAAAGCATGGACTTTCATTCTTCTCCCATCCTCCTTGGTTCTTGGGTTGAAAGTCACCATGTACCGATCGATTGAGGAAGGAACCCTGGAACCCAGCCTATGAGCATGAACCCGTTTTCCAAATCGGTCCTATTTATCAGTGGCCAGCGATGCGTCGATGCAAGGCTTGGAATTTGGGAGGAGCGGGGAGCTGAACGAAGTGGAGAGATTGGGAATTCTTGGGTTCAGATGCGCCGAGGGTCTTACGATCCTCTGATTCATGAGTATGGAGTATTGATTGATATGGGGATTGAGCTGAGGTTGAGCGATGTTTACCCTCCTCTCGGTCATGCATTTCAACAACCAACAAGTTATATTGCAAGATGGACTCGAATCTAATTCCAATGTCTTTCAGTGCATTTTCCTGACTTTGCTGAGAATTACCTTTCGAAAATCAAGAAAGGAATCATGAAATCGAGCGCGGCGATCTTGCTTTTCCGGGCTCGCTCGATAGTGATATACGCGATAGATCACGGAGAGGCGAGTTACGTCGCTAGAGTCTACTCGTCCATAGACGGCAGCGTCAATGACGCATATTTTTCATGCTCCATAAATTTTTAATCACAAAGGACTCCAGGCTCGTGATAAGCCAGAAGAGGAGACGAAACAGAAGAAGCTCTTACCGATCGAAGACAGCCGCGCGAGCTTGAGCTCTGCCGCGGCGGGTGCCTATCGAGGGAAAGAACACTGAGAGCGGAGAAGCTTCCGGAGGCATTCGAAAGAGTGCTCCCGGAGTGCTACCGATATAGCGAATGGAGAACAGTGTGGTCAGTCCATGCATATGTATCAATGTTATGGAAGAATTCAAGAAATTCCGGCGGCTCGTTGGGTAAATGTGGCTGGGGAAGATCGCGTGCCAACCCTGCCAACCTGCATCCGGAAAGTGGTCCGGTACGAACTTTGATAATCTGAATCCGCGTCGTGCCCAACGAGCTGGGTCTTGAGCTCAATCAGTCAGGAGTTTCATTGGGAATCCAAGGAAGGATATTCAACAGAAGCTACGACTACCCTTCCGATAAGCTCTCATCGAGTTCGCATTACTTTCGTGAAAGCTGGGGCATCCGGATTCGGAGCTAGTGGTGGGCGGTGGGTGCTCGAATGATGACGGAGGGTCGCTTTCCACTCTCCATGTTCTAGGCTTGTTATTCTTCAACATGGTTTTGAACCACTTGGATATCACCACGCTGCGTCGGCAACGTCACCTGACAATCATCATATCATCGCTCTGGGAGCGACGCGCCAAGCTTCAGCCGCGGAGAAGAATACCTGCGACCTCAAGGGCCCGAAAGCGGGCCCATAATTCGGGATCCGTTGCTATATGGGATGCGACGCTGCACGTTGATTATAATGCCGTCAATAATAATTCAATCGCTACAATCGATGGTGAGCGCCTAGAGGTCCTGACTCTCCTTGAAGCATCCCGAAAAATGGCACTCTCGGTCGATTCAGCCTTTTTGACGTACAATCGGAACCGCGATCTGAGAACCTCGTATCGCCCGTTCTCGATTCCCACAGGCCTCCAGAGGGAACTTATCATCAGCACCGGAATACGAATCGTGAGCCGAGGTCGAGAGACTTCTAACTGAGAGCCGAGGCAAAGGTGACCGGCAAGCTGAGTTCAGGATCGCGCATGTTCCATCCTTCTGTGTACCACTTCTGAAATTTCGGCGAGACCTGGAGAGAGCGCGGCGCCAGCATTATCCTGAGCAAACTCGAGCCTCGGTGGCTTCCTGATTCCGCCAACTTCGATTCCTAGAAAGAAGGTCTGCAAATACTTCGACCAGCCACGAAGCTTGGCTCTACGGAACTTTGGCTTCAAGAGAGGGACAGAAAACAAATTCAAAGAGGCATCTTATTGGAATCAATCTTCTTCGAAACCCTCGAGGAACCCGGGAGCCACCGCTTCAGAGACGTCACGGAAACCGATGCAGTGCCAGAGGATTGATTTTGAGCATCGCCGACCAGTGTTCCTCACCTCTCCGGAGTCGGCTGGGGCATAGATTCGAGTCCTAGTGCCAGCTGGGAAGCTCAGTGGGGAAAAAAGGGCTTGATACAGTGTGCAGAAAGCCCCCCTAGCGAAAGCCGTGAGCTATCCGACAAGCTATCCGTGCAGGTTCATTGACCCTGTTTCCGAATGATCAAATTCAACATCAGTCTATTAGAGCTCAATTTTCCGGATTTCGATTCAGCAAGAGATACTTATATGAATACGCAACAAAGGAAAACTCACAGATTCGACTCCGCATCCGAGGGAGAATTCGCTGCAATTTATTGTACCCAACCTTGAATGAAGACCGAGGGAGTCGTAACTCGTGACGCGCGCGTCGGAGGGGGGTTTACGGGTGAGGCTGAAGACTACGGCAGCAGAGCGTTCTAATGAACCGTTCCATCTTCAACAGGCTCTAGGCGACGAATTTCGTGGAAAATTAAACTCGAAATGGCAGTGATAAGGCACACACACGACGCGCCGCATGCCTGGCTGAATACGCGGACTCATCAGCATAGCCGACTTCGTCCATCGGAGGTACAGAGCGAGATTCCCTTTCGGAATTTTGTTGGCGAATTTCGACTCATCGATTAGCAACCAGCTCATCCGCGGGAGCGAGGGAGGCGGCAGGGAATTCCGAGAGCTCACTTTGTGTACTCCGTGACCATGGAAACTCGGAGTCAAAAACACGGAACCAGCACTGAGCCGAGATGTCCTTCGCAAGTGAGTCCCTACGACTTGGCTATCGATCGCGGAAATAAGTCGCGACGACACCGTCGAGAATTGATGGGGGCTCCTGATAGGAGTATGGCAACTCTGGCCGCCGTCAAGTTTTTGCTCCAGCGTGTTTAACGCCGCAGAGAACTGGATACGTTTCAAATTGCTAAATCTTCGGCAGAGTTTTTCAAGCAACCGCCAATGCAAGCGACGCTGGACAATAACGAGAATGAAGAAGACGCCCAGGATAAAGATGTGCCGCTTCCGGACGCCTACAATCCGAAAGACTACGAAAACTTGGCCGTTTCCGCTGAGCTGAAAACCCTCTTCAAACTCATAAACAGGTATCTGCCCGGGGAACCCGAATGCTTCGGGTGTCCCTTCCCGAAGCTTGCCGCTGATACGCACAGACGGAGAAATCAAGGGAGAAGAGAATAATTTTCTCCTGATTATAGTTACACGCCGCAAACGATCGAACTGGATAACAAGCTCAGACCGTTCATCCCGGACCTCATCCCAGCTGTCGGGGACATTGACGCCTTCATCAAGGTAGGAGAGAATGCCACTGGCGGAACAAAACGTATTAAACGTCGAGGGGTAGTCACGCGGGCTTCAAAGAGCTTCAGTCTCACGAGATGGCCGTCAGTCGCTGCAGGCTGCTTTCCTTACTCAGTGCCGGAACTCTCTGAGATCTATACGATAGATCCGCCTCTCGCCTGTGATCTGCGATCTGTGACATCAGACTGTCCCGTGGAGGCGCTTTTTTGGAGAACGAAAACGGATACTTCGAATTGTCGGTATATCCGGAGTATCCGCTCTGACGAGTCTGGGATCTGAATCAAACCGACTTGGGAATCTATCGCCTCATAGCATCCAGCAATGAGGAAAGCTGATCGCGGAATCCCGTTCGGTTCTTGATCGAAACATTGCGGTTACAGATCCCACCACCCGACAATAATGATGATTTTCTCGGTCTCAAAGTCTTGGATGAACCCTGTGCGAAACAAAGTGATCCCACTGTTCTCAATATGCAGCTCAGAGCCACCACAAAACAGTCTTCGGCTAAGACTGCTGGTGAATACCCAACTCAGATATTCTTTTCCCCAGACGCTGAATTTGCCATTTTCCCATGCCTGATAATGACTCTCCTTTTTTCTCGAAGCATTGTTGGTTAAGTGTCTCGAGGACGCTCACGAGCATCCGAAACAGATTGAAGAATGGGTGACCTCGATCGAGAAACTTCACCAGAGTCGCCCGACCCCCACCGTTCATTATTCTCGTCCTATGCCGGATGTCGAGTCACTGATGCAAGAGTGGCCACCCGAGGTGGAGGAGGCTCTGAAGACACTTTCGTTACCTTCAGCAAAATTGAATTGCTCCCTAGAGGAATACGTTAACATCATCATGGGTGAGAGTTACTTACCATTCATACCACGAGCCACGATTCCCTTCCGCCCATAATAGTTGAAGTCGACAATTATGAAACTGGGAGCATCCACCTCCAGCGGAACCCCATGAGCTTCGCGCCAAGTTCGGTGACCCAATGGAATCCGGCCTCAGAAATCCGATACTTCGCGGGCCTCGGCGTCGTAAGCTCGAAGATGTCAGTTTTTGTGTTTTTTTTTTCAGCCATCTTGGACATTCCGGTCTACAAGAACAAGCTCCATTCGCTCCATGTCCTCTTCACGCTTTATTATGAGTTCAAGAACAGTCAGGTAAGTCATCGTGCCATTCGCAGTCGTGGTGCAAATGTATGAATGGGTGAAGTGAGCTCAAAATTCTAACATCATCGTGACGACTCCGGTTCCAGCACTTCCGAGCTCTGGCGATGGACAATCGCATCGATAACGCCTTGAAAGCGCTGACGATGGACCCTTCGGATCGTTTGGTGCTCTGAAGACACGTGGAGAGAAGGGGCTTCGAGAAGCTGTTGGTCCGTGAATGGAGCGTGACAATCCTGATGAACACTGTCGATGAGACGAGAGAAAGACCTTCAAATAAGATACATCAGCGAGCTCCATTGTGTGGATCTTGTTGGATAGAATGATTAGGATCATTGTAAACAAAGAGTTTTCTATGATCGGATTTCAGAGGTGTATTTAAGGTTGTCCAAGACAGACCTTACGTCTGGGACGACAAGTGTGGACTATACGCTTTGAACCTTGTACTTGAGTCACCTATTTGTGTCTGACCCATGAAGACCTCGATCCCTAGACCAGGCCGCGTTTCGAGCGGCAAATGGATCTTCATGAAGAGTACTCCGATAAGCAATCATACTTGAGTCCGCTGAGGAACTTCCTTCTAATCGAGAGCTCATCTTTCATAGTCTCTGACATGACGTGGAGGGAGAAGGAGAGCTGGAGCGTGGGCGCGGACAGTTCTCCGGAAGCTGAGGGAATCGCTTTCCCTGATCGTAGAATCTCTATCCAAGTGATATTATTCGCGATTCGCCACACATGCCGCTTCACAAAGGAGAAGGGAATAGTCGGAGACTCTCTTACTCCTCTGTTTAATTGATTCGTGTGACTCTCCTCCGACTCGAGAGTTTTATCTCACAGTTTCCGTAAAATATAGTGGCAACTGGGGGAACCTATCCTCAACTTGAGTCGCCCCTCGACCAACGTGAGGCACCAATCATTGACTCAAGTTGAGGTCGCACTGTAGATTGAAGTGAACGCGCGATCACCGAGATCCTCCGCCATCGCCGGTGAGGCGACCGGATACCTTTTGGCGTACATTGCTGCGAAACTCTCTATGGGTAGATCTCTGGTTTCGCTGAACAGCTCCGTTACCGGGACCAGGATGTCCAGAAGATTCCAAGATGAGACCTCTAGGTCCTTTCAGCCCTTCTTGTCTCCAGGAAAATCGCCTCTCGAATGATATCAGTCGGTGAATGGCTCTCGCGCGCCACATAGGAGCAGCGTTCCGGAAAGAAGACCGCGAGGCTCAAGAAAGGAACGCTCCCGATTCTTGCGCGAAAAGCGTCGACAAAGATCATCTGTCTTCAGCCATTGAGACGAGGCTGATCCGTCCGGTGGCCACGCTAGTCCAGGGATCTACCGTCAGCGTCGATCGATCGATTTTACGAGGTTGGAAATATAGACCCTCAACTCTAGATAATCCGCGCGGAACAGATTAGGATAGGGGTTGGATGGGGGAAGACAGACACTGCGACTCAGTAGTTGCAGGGAGCAATCTGGGTAGTGTCTGCTGAGCCGGCGTCCGCCTTTTCCCCAGATTGAGCGCTCCGTATACTGCCGAGAAGTATAAGCCACCCGAGTGAGGTAAATGTTGAACAGATGCTAAAGAATCGATTGATTCTGGGAAGAACCAAAAAGCACTCTCCCGCTCATGGTCAGTCCCGCTCGATTGAAAGCTCTCTATTTTCTCATTCTCGTCCGGCTATTCCAAGGCCTGGGATGGCACGTTCTGTTTGTTAAGCGAAAGAGGAGTCCGAGAGGGTTTGGAGACAATCATGGGAGTCCCATGATGGGACTCCGCGCTGGAGGATGGCTGAACATTCCTTGAGCTTTCAGAAATCAGCTCGAAAAGGGCATCGGCACTCCTCATTTGCCCAAGACCGCCCATATTGAAGCTTCTACAATAGCGGGCCGCGAGTTCCGCACGACGGATAATTCATGCCCCGTGTTTTCGAACTGCTTCGACAGGAGAGACTGAGGGGCGGAAGCCATACGACTTTTCACTTCCTGCAAGCTTTCTCCCATCCTGTAGGTTTCCGCGAACGCTCCCGCGATCGGTACCACTGTGGAGCCCGTGTTCACCGAACGCGCTTTTACGGGAGCCAGCATGCTACGTGAATACTTGGGGCTTTCGGCCGTCCTGGTTGTTTGCTTGGCCAAAGAGAGTCTAAAATGGGAGGATTTGTAAGTATCCTCTTCTCCATTTGAATTCTCGGAAAGGCGCTCTCCCACATGCTGAGTCTCAATCGTCATTCATCAGCTGAGAGCAAAGGGAGCTCGCTTCCAAGCCTTCACGTCCTCCCATCCTGCATATCCTTGATATGGAACTTCGACTGAGAAGCTCTCCGAACCTTGCAGGGAAGAAGATCCAAGCGACGCGGGGCCTGCGGAAGCTCCACTGCTCGGACGGAATGTCGCGATCGGTAGGTTTCTCCCCCATTTCCGGGGCGGTAACCTCAAATGGAAGACATGCAGGAACGATTAGACCCGATCCCACCTCCACAGATCTATGCCCTGTTCCTACCGCACCGAAAAACTCCAAGGTTCAATGCCGGCTCGGTAAGGGTCGGAGAATGTGCCGTGCAACATGCCTGAAAGGATTCAAAACGGCCGACGGGGAAACCGAGCAGATTATTGTCTGTTCCGAAGATGAGGGCAAATACACGCCGAGAGGAATATTTTCAGATTGTGAAGGTACGAAATCAAGTGGAAGTTTCGATCAGAATCGGACAATATGCTTCTCTCTCTCTCGAACTTGCGAGGATGAAGACTGAAATTGCGATTTTCGATCATGATATAACTCATCCACGCATCTACTCGTTCTTGAGCGCACTGCGAGAAACCATGTCAAAACGGCGGCAGGTGCATCGGAAACGACGAGTGTCTCTGCGAGGCCGCCTACCGGGGAGACTCCTGTGAATATGGTGAATCGATTTGGAACCTTCGATACCTCACTCTCAGATCCCAGATCCACGAAGTCTCTTCTGACGTTTTCTCTGGATGCTGAGTCGGAACGTCCAATCCCTTTCCAGCCGTGAGTCTTTGCGATGCCCATTTCTCGGAGTTTCTGGGCACTTGGCGCTGTGGACACAAAAAGAATGGGACCGAATGCCGGATCAGCTGTCCTCCTCCGTTCTACTTCTCTTTCGAGTCGCCGAAAATACACACCTGCAGCGTGGAGGGGGTTTGGTCTCCTCCGACGATTCCGAAGTGCATAGCCGGTTCGTATCTGGTCTGATTATGTTCACGGACGGATAATTAATTCTGCCCGAAGTTTCACCTATTCGCAGGCAGACATAATCAATCGGATATTCTCGTGTGAATTGCTGTGAGACGATCCCTCTCTCATGTTTGCAGATGATCCCGAGCTGGAATTGGTCCCTGGAGAGGTCACTCGAGATGAGATGGAGGATAAAAATCATAGGCAAAACAAAGCCGAGGCTCATGATGAATACGAAATCTACGAAACGATCAAGTACGGTTGGAATGGGTGGATGAACGGCTCCAGGATCAGTTTCCCGAAGAGATACTTCCTGGTTGCAAGATTGCGAATGGTCCGCCTTTTTCTTACCCATCGTGTACTAAAGAATTTGCATCGTCGCAGTGTCGAGAAGCCAGAGGAACAATCGAACTCAATAGTGATCGAGGCCCAGGATGCATCGAATAATATAAAGCGACGAAAGAAATGTCCCGAGGGTAGAGTTCGCGTGAAATGTGCCTCAAGCTGTCAAGCGACCTGTCAGAATCCTGGCCTAGTATGTCCGCCAGCGGACAGCGGAACTGACTGTGAGGAAGGCTGTGCCTGCGCTGAAGGCTTCGTGCAACTAGAAGATGACTGTGTCCCGATACAGGCATGCCCGTGCTACCACGAAGGCTTCGCATTCAATCACGGGCACTACATCATTCAAGACTGCAACACCTGGTAAGCACAGGGACAATCGATGACTAAATTCTTCAGTCTGAATCCGGCGAACATGCCCCTCCTCATGAAAAGGTCAAGACGAGATTCGACGATTGAGCTGCATGAGCTCATCAATTTCTGAATATCCTAGCACGTGTCATGAGGGCAGTTGGCAATGCACGAATGAGATTTGCGACAGCGAATGTTCAGTTCTGCTGAACACATTCTACAAGACTTTCGATGGCCACGCGTACTTCACCGGAATCGGTTCGTGCACCGTAGTCCTGATGCAAGTCATCGACGGCGCTCAAATCATCCAAGACAGGAGTCATTGTCCTGAAGACTCTACGAAGGTTCGTTGAGGGTATTGGTCAAATGTGGTTTGGTCGGCGAGATTTATCTACGATGACAATGATGAGTCGTGGGAGCACTCCCCAAGCACGGCTCAAAATTGATGACGCTTGAGCTTTCTAAGGTCTGCATTGGCGATCTCGTGGTGAATTTGGGCGCAAAGGCGCTTCGAGTCACGAGGGATCGCAAAGTCGTGTTCGATCACCACGAAGTATCGAATACTCCAGCCGTGTTTCTGAGTCATAAGATCCTCGTGACAAGACCGTCGAGAGAATTTGTACAGGTAATCGACGTCTTTATCCGTGAATAATTCCCTAGAAACAGAGGAAGAATGGATGAAGTCCAGAACGATTGTATCGACCACGCTCTCCTTCATCGTTCCTGAATTTTATCGTCGTGATTCCTGCCTGCAGGTCAATGTCGATGGCATAAAGATCCTGACGAATGGAAACGATCAAATTTCAATCGAAGCTTCACCTGTTTTCTTCAACCGCACTGTTGGTCTCTGCGGAACCTTCAACCACCAAAGATCGGACGATTTCACGACTCCGAATAATGACGTCACGACGTCAGCGAGCTCTTTCGCCGAACAATGGACCGTCGAGAAAGGTCAATGCCGTTTCATTGAGCCCGGGAACTGTTCGAACATCGACGACCTCGAGAAACGGAGAAAAATTTGCGAGAACCTGTTCCGAGATTCTTCGATATTCCCAAGTAAGCTCCGGAAAGCTGCAGGCAGCCGGGTAGAGCTAATGTCAGTGGGAATTCTTCCGCCTTCCTGCCCAGCCCTCAAGTCGCATGTTATTTGCGGAACTCTTTTCATCACGACGGCTTGAGTCAATGGACGCAACTCCAATCCACGCTCGTTTGCAGCTTGCCTCGACAAAATCGCTCCCGAGCTTCACTTCGCACAATGCATGGAGGCGCTCTGCACCTGTACATCTTCGATCGAGGAGTGTCTATGCCCGTTCCTGAGTCACTATTCGCGCTTGTGCTCCAACAAAGGCTCTACGACAGAGTGGACCCTCCAAGTGCCCCAATGCGGTGAGATTTCGTAGGTCATGTGGCTACAGATTTTTCACCGATGTGCTCCTCCAAGCCACCTGACCCGGGATACCCGCTGCGAAGGAACTTCCTCAGTGAGGGTGAATTTCAGCGGCTGAATGCCATCATGGAATGAGGTATCAGCATTGTTCTACTTCCTGTCGATCGAGCTGCTCTCACCGTTCATTTTTCGGTCGGAACTGCTCCGAAACCTGTGTTGAGGGTTGCGCATGCCCTGGAGGACACAGCTTATCCAGTGACTCGGTCTGCGTGCCGTTCGATGATTGTTTGTGCTACTTTGACGGCAAGGAGTATCAAAACGGGTCCAGTCACACACGGGAGGGCGAAAACTGGTTGGTATCATGCTTCAGCTCAGACCGAAGGCAAACCTGTCGGGTGCCAGCCCCGCGCTCTGGCTTATAGGACGTTTCAAATTCACCGGAATTCGATTCGAGGCACGAAGGAACTCGAGCGGCAGGACGAACATATCTACAATCATAATGACACTTAAATCGTTATTAAGAGGAGACGGCGGCGCGGCGGAGGTCTTCAGGTGGAGTCGATGAGAATACCGCGGCAAATTTCAGCTTGTGTCGGAATGGGCTCTGGGAATGCGAGACCTCTACTGAGGAGCGTGATAGCTCCGAAATCGTTCTGAAAGAATGCGGCATCAACGAAATTTTCGTTCAGTGCGTGGACCGATGTGCGCCCACCTGTGATGCCTTGATCGGAGTTCCGGACTGCGAAGATACGATATGTACCCAAGGTCCTCAATTTTTGATTCGAGTAAAATCATAGTGATCCCCGCACACAGGAAATCGAGAGGGCTCCCGTCTCACGACCGTCGACACCTAGAACTGAAGGGAATTATCCTTGAAGGTTGTCAATGTGCGGACGGTTTCATCCGCAACGAGCTGACGGGACGCTGCATCAAACGGAGGGATTGTCCCTGTTTCCATGGCGGCAAGACGTACAATGAAGGGGAGACGGTCATACGCGGATGCAACAAATGGTGAATTTCTACAGAAGTTTCGATCTAGACGATTTCGGGGCGAACGGCGGTATACCTCCCTCGACGAAAACCGCGCCGACTCCCTGGGCTCACTGAAGGGCATCTAGTGGGAATCGTTAATCGCATTCTCAATTTCTTCTCCGATGCCGCAGCACATGCTCGAGCGGCACATGGAGCTGCTCGAAGGATCCTTGTCCGGCTAGCTGCGATGTTTGGGGCAGCACTCACCTCAAGACATTCGATAATGAGCTTTTGGATTTCGAGGGGACTTGTGACTACGTCGTAGCGAGAGCCAGCAGCGATCCGGGGAGTGCCGCATGGTTTCAGATAGTGCTCCGGAACTTCAAGTGTGTAGAAGACACCGCAGAATGCCGCAAGAGCATCTTGATTCAGCATGGTAAGAGATTCGAGGAGAGACTGATAGCGCGACACGAGAGCTCACATTTCTTTTCACGTCTCCCTTCAGTTCAAATTACAGTACAAACTCGATTATATCACCTAATTCGTGTTGGTAAAATGGTGACATAATCGAGAGTGCGATATAATCGAGTTTCATAGACTTCCGTGGGAAATTGATTATATCACATCTCCGACTCGGTTATACCACCATTTTTGAGCACGAATTACGTGATATAATCGAGTTTCGAAATTTTTAGACGTGATATAATCGAGTGTGATATGATCGAGTTTGTGCTGTAGTAGAGCTTGGTGAGCATCTGTCATTCGGTTCTCCGCAGCGAATCAATCCACCGTCTTGACTGGGAAGTCCTGGTTTCCGGCGAGCTCCGAATCGCAGCTACAAGTTCAGCGGATTGGATCTCTATACACGAAAGTTTCGCTACCGAACCAAATTTCGGTTTATTGGGACGGGGATACGCGCCTCCACGTCCTCGCAGGAGTTCAATGGAGGGAGCGGGTGAGTCAACTGGCCGAAGTACTAGAAAATTGAATGAAGCTGAACTCGCCACAGGAGCAGAATCCGATCAACGGGTTCCGCGATGGTAGCTCTTGCGAATGATCTGGTCCTATCGGGTCTTGAGACAGGAATTATCGTCCTGGTCAGGTTTCTGGACTATGCGGGAACTTCAATGGCGATGACAGCGATGATCTGAGAACGTCCTCAGATGGGCCCCTGATCAAATCCGTCACCGGATTCGTCAAGAACTGGGAGCTCAATCCCCAGTGCAGGCCGCCACAGATCCTGGATATCAATTGCTTGGAAAGCACCGTGAGACCTCGAGTTAAGCTCAGATGTCAGGTCTTGCGGAGTCAGCTCTTCGAGGACTGCCATAATGAAGTCGACGTGGAGCCCTACTTCAAGAGGTGCGTCAAGGATGAATATGCATCAGCCTCCGTAGGATGAAGGTGGCCTAAAGAGCTAAGTCCGGGAATCTTCCAAGGTGTGTCGCGGATGCCTGCGCTTGCGAGGAGGACGGGGAATGTCATTGTCTATGCACCGCGATTGCTATGTATGCCCACCAATGCGCTCAATTAGGAGTACTGATCCATTGGAGAAATCAAGGACTGTGTCGTGAGTTTCCCTGCTGACGAGGTATCGCTCTCGCACAATGAATCAGCTCCATCCAGTCTACCGGTGCGGTGTTGACATTGGGCGCTTGAATGAATGTAACAATTGCAAGAGCAAAATTTGATTTTCTAGCCCTCCAATGCGACGAAGATTGCGAGAAATACACCCCATGCGTTCCCGAAGCCTGCGAAAATGCGCAAACTTGCCGAGCCGTGATAGAGCAAGGAGTGGCCCTGAACTGCGTTGAGCAGCATTGTGTTGAGGGCTGCAGCATTCCGAGCTGTAAATTAGGTAGCCGATCTTGAAGACTGATTCACCGCTCTTACGTCATGGTTCATTCCTGAGGAGCATCGATCGATGTAGACAATCTCTCCAAACATAGAAAAGAAAGCTAATCATTCGATACAGGGCCCTCGAAGGGAAATGAGCCTCTGAATCCGTTATAGGATACATCCACCCAAACGAAACGACCCATGAATGCTTGCCCGCGTCAACTTGTGTCACCGAAGTCACAGAGGGGGCATCCTGCGAAATCGACGGCGTTACTTATGCCGAGGGCCAGCGGATCCAAACAGAGGACCCCTGTATCTCTTGGTTGGTGAACTATTCTGTCGAAATCAGGATCAACGATAATTTTTTCGTAGAAATATTTTAAAGGTGCTTTGCCCGCAACCCTTGGAACATAGGGGGCATCGCGGTCTCTGACCCTCGATGTCGTGAATCGAGTTATTTCTCTCCGACAGTTTCTGCATTCGGAGAGAGAGGAAATGCATCGGGCGGCCCTGTGAAGATTCTTCCGTTTCTGAACCTATTTGTTTCGAAGGATGGTCCGGCTGGAAGAGTGAGACTTCGCCGACGTCGGCGGTGAGTCTTGAAGCTCTCGTTTGAACTCTCCGCCTACAATCGGAGCTCATCTCGGATGGCCGGACGCTGAGAATAATCTCCTCTTCCAGTTCGGCTACGACATGGAATATCTCGCACATCATCGATGTCCATCGAGCTTGATTGAAGCAGTCGAGTGCCGTCGCTTACACGATCATATTGCGTGGAACGATAGCGTCGTGGGCGTTATCTGTGATACTCAGAGGGGACTCGAGTGCACGCCTGAAAATCGCGAACCTTGCGCCGATTGGGAGATGCGCGTAAAGTGCTCTTGTGAGCGAATTTCTCTCAGCTGATTCCGATTTTCTGCGAGAGATGAGTCAGTGGGAGAGAAATGGCGTCATTACGTAGATTCGCTCTTCCTGTAGGTCCAGAGAAGAGAGATGGAATACTTGCCCCGACACCCCCGCCAGAACATGATGGTGAGCTCGTCATGGAGAACATGCCCCTTGTACTCTCGCAGCTGTCGGAAGTTTTCCCCTCAAGTATATTCGATGTAGATTCCTGAAGTCGCCACGATGTCAGAAAAGCTTCTTCTCCGTAGAGGAACAAAGCTGTCCACCAGGGCAGCAATGGTCTTCTTGTGCCGTGAATTGTGCCCAAACCTGTCACAAATTCCGGCGCGATCTGATGCTCCGAGGGCAATGCGTCGATCGAGAATGTGTACCCGGCTGCGTAAACCATCATTGCCGAGCTGATCAAGTCTATTCAAGTTACGGGCAGTGTGTTCAAATCAACGAATGTCCATGCGTCCGCACCACCGGAGAGATCGTAGCCGTGAGTGCCTGAACCCTGAGGCCCGTTAGCAGCAGAAATTATGAGGACGCGGATGCGGAGTTCTATGGATGAGCCTCACTATCCGATTCCAGCCTGGAGCGGTCTTCCTCAGCGACGATTGCACGGAATGTCAGTGCCTGAACAACGATCTCCTGTGCCAGCGTTTGAGCGGGTGTGATCAAGAGGCTGAGAGCTCGGAGACCGAGATAAGCAGAGGTGAGTCGCGACCTGGTTTCACGCTCGGCACGGCACGCCCTGCCTCACTCGGTGACAGAGTTGTAGGTCCGCTTCGATTCCGAGATGTGGGCAATGAAAAGCCTCCATAGGTGCGTCTAGGGTCTAGGGGATGGGACTTGGAGTCAGGAAGGCTCCCGAGGATTGCTGAGGGCGCGAGAAATTCACGCGATGCCGTGGAATCGCAGACGGGGAATGCAGGAGCAATAGACAGCCGCCAGGATTCGAATTTTTCACGCGGCGGATCACATACGGAATCAGCGATTCGAATTGAAGAGCTGAACAAAGATATGGATCCTCTCGATGCAGGGAATCGAAAACCGGCGCTACGAGCAGATGATTTAACTCTCAAACGTTTTCTTTTCAGACGATTCACTTCAAGGTTGTTGGACTCGATGGATCAGTTCACACAACGCTGCAGCCGCCGGAGATTTCGAGAACACCCGAGAGCTCATAGGAATGAATCTAGTTTGCCAAGAACCGAAGGCGATTCAGTGCCAAACGAAAGAGAGCCAAAGGTCTCCAGGGGGTGAGTTTTCCTTGTTTTGCCGTGATGGCCGGATCCAGTCCAGAGCTAGAACTTCATCACGACGGGCGATGGGCGCCGACTACCGAAAGATCCCCGGCAGCTCCATATGGGCCCCCCGTTCCATTTTCCAGGCATCGCTTGGACGGCCACGGGACAGAATGTCACATGCGATCTCGATCACGGCCTCTCCTGTTTCAACACGGCAAATCCCCGAGACGGTTGCTTCGAATATGAAGTGAGATTCTACTGCCCGTGCGATCACGAAAATCAAGCTACGCGAAGGATCGTTGATCCGGCTAACAGCACTACGACCACCATCGACTTCATTTGCCCGGAACCGAACGGTCTCTTCCCCGATCCATTGCATTGTGATCACTTCTATCATTGCTCCAACAATTTCCCCTTCCACAAAGCTTGTCCCGCGGGGACGGTTTTCAATACTGCGCTGAAAATTTGTGACCATCCTTGGAACGTGGATTGCAAACGAGGTGAGATCGTCTCGGACAGTGTGCTGCAAAGTTTTGGAGGACTAAATCATTCTAAGGATACCTTTCGAGAAAACTCCACTCTCTACACAGCCCGCGGAATTATCCTATTCTTTTGAATCAATGTTATTCTTTTCCGAAGAAATCGCTGCGACAACGTTCACTTGCCCCAGTCCGATGGGTTTCTTCCCCGATGTCCACAACTGCAACTTCTTCTATCATTGCGTGCAGAACATTGCCTATCATAAATTGTGTCCCGCCGGTCTATCGTTCAATTCTCAATTGAGGAGCTGTGGATACTCTTCAACCTGTCGCTCAAGCGAAGCCGATTCCATCATTTTCCCGGGTAGGTGCGACGTCCTCGATCGGGGACTTCTCTCGATCTTTCATCGCATCAAGGACTTGCTCCATTCTCAAATCTATAGTTTGGCCGATTCCAGTTCCTGAACCTCCCCCATCACCCGTGTACGTCGTGACAGAAGAATCGCACGGTATCATTGCGCCGATTATCACATTCGCCTGTCCTGAGGCTTTGCCTGGATCAGGAGAATCTTGCGGCCAGTGTATCAAGGGCTTATTCTGCGATGGTTATGGGAATTGCGTCCCGCTGCAGAGCTGTCCTTGCGTCAGAGATGGTAAGCCATTCCCGGTCGGAGGGCGCATCGAGTCGACTACTTGCCAGGAGTGCATGTGCCAACTGGGTGGGCATTCCGTTTGCACACCAATCATCTGCCCCATCTGTCCCGTGAGTATCGGAGCTCTTCATGGAGCAGCCGTGAGAACTCATCGGTCCTCGGAGGCTATCATGTATCATGACTAGTGGGTACAGATTTTTATTACGGCGGTACTGCAGCCTGGGACTTCGATATTCCATACCGGAACTATTTCAGAACGGTATCCTCGCCACCTTGGACAACACATGCCGATGTCAATGCGAAGAGCATCGAATCATCGTGGACTGCCCGAAAAAATGCAGCAACGGACAGTGCCTCGATTCGTCCCGTTGGTGCGATGGGATCGTCGATTGCGACAACGACGAGACAGAATGCTCTCAGCAAGCCGGTGCGGTATTGCTCACGGCCATAATTGGGAATCCGATACCCAAGGCAGGCTGAGTGATCGGCATCAAATAATTCCATTCTCATTCTATCCGTAGAGCTTAAGCCCGCGCCCTTTCCTTCATATGACTTGATCCACGGTGAGTCGATACAAACTCCTTGTTCCTACATAATATGAACCTGAGTCCCAAAAACTTGACTACAACTGATGAAACGGAGGAAACAGCAACATGATGAGGATCCTAGTGATTTTCCTCTGTAAAGTTTCGTTCTTCGATTCAGGTCCTGCGACATGCGAACTCATCGGCAATCATTTGAGGACGTTCGATGGTTCTGACCTCGCATATGACTATTGCCGAAACGTACTGGCCGTTGATCAAGCGGAGCAACTCTTCAGAGTCATAGGTGATCGGCCCAGAATACGTTAATCCCACCCCGATTAGGGTCGAATGATGTATTGAAACTTTCTCCATGGACGACGGCGGAATTTATCTCTAATCGATCCTTGTCAACAGTGAGTCGAGAGTGCTCATCTTCGTCGAGCTGCGAGCCTGTGGTGATCTTCGAGAGTGCGAACCAACAAATTCAGGTTGACTTGAATTCTCACCATGTTACCGTAAATCAGTCGAGCTTCACTCCGGCCCAACTGGCTACAGCTAACCTTGGCGATGTCACGGTGACGGCAGTCGGTGATGTCTTGGAAATCGCTCACCGGGACCAAATTGTCAAGCTGGTCATCTCGAAGGGCTCCCTACGGCTCACAGTCGACGGAAGACTGAAAGATCGATTGATGGGCTTATGCGGACTCTTCAATCACAACCCGAAAGACGACTTCACCAATACGGCCGGCATGATTGTGGATAATGTGAAGCAGTTCGGAGACAGCTGGGCGCTCCCTTTGAGCCCTGGAGCCATCTGTGTGTCTCACACCTGCCCACCCGAAACAACCATGGGGGCGATGGACATCTGCGGGAGACTCAGGTCTGTGTGGGTCTCATGATATCCGTTTTTCCTCCCGTGAAGTCGCTTGAGAGTCTCAGAATGAGACTCCCGAATGCTCCGTAATTTCGGGATATATCTCGAACGACTGTCGGATCTTTGAAATTCATCTAGATACGCACTCCCGCTCGCCTTCTCAAGGTCGATAGAAGGGTTCGAGAATCGCGACCCTGCTCAGCACTTAGGCATCCCCTCTGCTTGTCCGTCTGTAGCTCGAAATAATTCTTCCACGATCGGCATTCTAGCGCTGCCCCGCTGTCCGCCTGTACTGGAATCGAGGACTCCTTCCGAAATTGTCTGGCATACACTTGTCAATGTCTCCGCACAAACAATACTGCCGAAAGCTGTTTGTGCGATGCTGTTGCCGCCTTCCAGAAGTCATGTCTCGACAAGCACGGGAACCAGATCCTCACCAAGATGACCGGCTGGCGCCAGCAGTATTCGTGTGGTGAGCGTGATATATTTCGATTTTTTCGAAATATAATTATATATAATATTTTTTATTATATTCCGACGCAGAACTTCCTCCCCAAGTGAGATCAACTGTCGCCCGGTGGGTAGCGAGCTCTCGTGGAAAACCCGCGTGTCTAACAAGATGATTGGCACTTTTTCAGTGCCGAAATGCCCACCCGATCAGTTATACCAGGAGTGTGGTCCGTCCTGCCTTGTAACTTGCCAGAACTTTTTCGACGCGGGACAGTCGAGCTGTGTCTCTGACTCCCGTTCTTGCATCCAAGGCTGCTTCTGCCATCCGGGTCTCGTCTTGGACTATACGACCAATTCTTGCATCGAGCCCGAGAGCTGCGCCGATAGTACGTGACTCTCATGATCTGCGCTCAGATTCCGGCAGCGAAGTATCCGCATCGATCTCGCGCTCAGCCTCATACCCACTCACAGAATATTTACCATTCGCAGAGGTTTGCTTTGGTTTTGGCGACCCCCAGGTGAAAACGTTCGATGGATACAGCTTTTCGCTCGACAAATCCGGGGCGTTCAACATAGCGACAGACAGGGATGGTTTATTCACTGTTCGAGGCTTGAATGCTCCTTGCGCTGAGGGACTCTCCTGTGTCATCGGCTTGGAAGTTGAGCATAACGGTCATTTCGTCAAAGTTCAGAGAAATCAACCGGTGAGCACGAGTGACGTCAATTTCGCGCTCGAGCAGGTTTTCGAATTCATTAAATCGAGACGGTCGATCAGGACGGGATCGGAAAATATCCTGTAGGATTATGTATGTATTATCGGCATCCGTTGAGAGTTTCGCCCCCAGCGAATACTTGGAGTACGTTTTTCGCAGGTCCTGATCGACGGAGACTCGTATCCTGAAGACGCATTGCCATGGTCGGCACCGCATGCCGCATTCTCCGTATTTTCATTGCAATCGGGCTCCAAGGGTACAACGGTGGTCTCCTTGAGTCGTCTCGGTGTTCAAATACACTACAGCAATGAGAATGCGGCTTTCTCCGTGCATGTGCCTTCGAAGAAATTCTTCGACAAAATGGAGGGGCTCTGCGGTGAGTTTGACATTTGGCTGACGACCGAGGAGCTCGCCATGAATTTCACTTGTGATCGAGATGGATAAGCAATCCATTCCCTCGAATCAATGTCAGTCTGTCCGCACAGGTAACTGCAACAACGATCCAGATGACGACCTCATAATGAAAGACGGCGAGACTACGAACGATATCTACACCTTCATTTGTAGCTGGGGTCGCTTTGAAACGGAGCAGAATCGACGAGAGTGCGTGATGGACTTCGGTCGGGAGGAACTCATACCCCCGGGTCCGATCATTGAAGCCTGTGAACAGGTTTTCGAAAATTCCTCGAGCTTCGCCGGATGTCACGCATTAGTCGATCACAAACCTTATTCAGAACAGTGTGCGAGAGAAACTACAGCGATGACGTCTCGGGGAGAAGCCCACAGAACAGCCATTTGTAATTCAGCGCTCGAATACGCCCGACGATGTTGCGAGCACGGAGTCTCTCTCCACTGGTGGACGGATTTAGAATGCGGTTCGTTTCTTTCCTAGGTCCCGCCCATTCCGAACCAAACGAGGGGCTTAGTTGGATCAACCCCCCCCCACCTTCGATGTCAAGAATAAGCTTTTTTTTCTTCTCCTAGACACGACTTGCCCAGGCGACCTCGTGTACGCGTCTTGCACTGACGCTTGTCCGCAGACGTGCGCGGAAACGCTACCCGACGACGAATGCCGGAAGGTCCGCATTCACGGCTGTGTTTGCCCTCCAGACCACGTCAGAGACGGGAACGTATGCACTCCGAAATCCCAGATCTGCAGTGAGTTCTTCGGAAATCGACGATCCAGCTCGAAACGCCTGTCTACGTTTAGCTTCATTTATTTTCTCCCTGAGCTAGTTCTTGCTCACTTCTTCTTCACTCCATTGATTACCACCTCGGCTCATCCTGTGCAAGAGCAATCCTACCGAAAGTGATCCTTCAAGAGAAGATGAATGTTATTCTCATTTATCGCGGAACATACATATACTATGAGGATCATTGAGTTCGACAGAAAAAAATCTTATTTCCCATGCAGCAACGCCGATGGAAAACTGCAAAGTCGTTGAAGTTCCGAACTCCGCGCAAATTTTCGAACATCAGGACCCAACGCACGGCCTGTGCACCAATCCCGACCCGATTCAGAATGCGACATTGTGCTCTGGAGCGTGCGCTTCAACGTCTTCGTTCAGGCACGAGAATGACATCGATAGCAGTTGCGGATGCTGTGTTCCTTCTAAATGGTTGCCAATTCTGGTTCCATTGCGCTGCACTGACGGTGAAATGATTTCGAGGTGAGATATCGAATTTCATCTGATCGAACTGCCTCTACGCGAACTACGCGAAAAAAAAGTTCATGGAGATCCGATTCGCGCCCTGAAAGATCCGGTTGCTGGAAACTCGCTGAGCGGATTCATTTCGATTGAGCAGGGAATTTCGTCAGCCCCTACACTGCAAATGTGAGCCCTGTGGAGCCTTGGATGCCAGGAGAAAGGGTGACCGCGCGCTGCTCTCGGAGGGCTCTGATTCAAAGGTAGAACCCATCTGAGGGCTAAGGGATTGAATATGCCTCCTGGCATCTCAACCCAGATAAAAATTATTGTTGGGATCATGGAGTGACCCATAGAGATGCATAGCCCTCTCCCTTGAGAGTGGAGAGACAAATTCCCTTTTTCTCCGAAATAAAGATAGTCTATGTTCTCACCTCGAGCGCGCGTGATCTACCAGTTAAGAAGTTATAACAGTGGCGACGAAGATTTCAAACGAACTCACGAAACCTAGTGCCGAGTGCCCGCCAGAAGAGGATTATTCAGCGAAGCACAGGATTGTGACTCGTCAAAGCTCATCACCCGAGAAAGAAAATGGCATTCAGCGCCGAGCAAGTTCAACTGATCGTGTCCGCAGCCGTAACGGAAGCCTTGAAAAACTTTCCTCGAGAACGGACCTCAACTTCGGCCCACACCATCATGGAGCACATCAACAGCCGAATCCCGAAGTTCACTTTCAAATCCGACGAAGGACACACCTTCGAAAAATGTCTATTCAAGCGCCGCATAAAATCGCTTCGCATCAAGCGTTCCGGTCGTCCCATGAAAGAACTAATGGGTCTGATCAACGAAGCAGCCGAAGAAGCAGAGTGGGGGGATATAACCCTCGACAAAATGAAGCAATACATCCTCATGTTATCGCTCATGAACCCCGAAGACAACGATATTCGTGCCCGGGCAGCGAGACTTATGGAAGAGAACGAGGACGAATATAGCTTTCCAGAAATCATCGACGATGTGGAACATTTCGAACAACTCAAGAAGGATCTCAACCCGACGGCTAAAAGCCGCTTCGAGATCAACAAAATCCAAAAAAAATCACCGAGAGAAAACGCTCCACCGAAAGACGAGCAACAACCCTCCACGAGCAATAATTACAAGAAACCGTGCTACAGGTGTGCCAAAACGAACCATCATCACCGAGATTGTCGACACAAGAACACAACTTGTTCGATCTGTTCGAAAGTGGGCCACCTTCCTCGAGCCTGTTTTTCAAATCGATCTACGGATTTCACGCCTGATCGAAATGTTCGACAGATCCGGTTACAACCCAATAACGTCAGACGGTTCACAAAGCAGGTCACCATTAGCGGTCGGACGTTCAGCTTGACTCTAGATACAGGCGCGGAAGTCTCACTTATCTCTCGCCGAATCTGGTCTCAACTCAACAAACCAGCGCTACGCTCACCTACAGTTAGCCTGACGTTGGCCGACGGAAACCCCCTAAGAGTCATCGGAACGTTTCGCTGCGCCGTTCGCATGAACAGTCTCGAATTTCACACCGACTGTCATGTAACAGAAAACTGTGAATTACTCGGGCTAGACTGGATCCAAAGGGACCCAGAGTTGAAAAAGTTTCTCCAAGATCAGTCCAGGAACCCTCCCGCGAGGTCGATTCAATCTGTAATGGGATCCATCGACATCAAGGAAGAAGAAATCCAAAAGAATCTCAAGCGGAAGTTTCCTGAAGTCTTCACCGAAAGCCTAGGGAAATGCACAACATTCGAAGCGACTTTCAAGGTCAAAGAAAACTCCGCACCGAGCTTCAAGAAAGCACGTCCCGTAGCATATGCTCTACTTCCGAAGATTGTCGATGAAATCGAGCGACTCGTGAGCGAGGACGTTCTCGAGCCGACAGCCCATTCCAAGTATGCCGCACCGGTGGTCATCGTCCAAAAGAAAGACGGAACGATCCGGCTCTGCGCCGATTACTCCACGGGATTGAATAACTCAATCGAAGACGACGCTTATCCCCTTCCCACGGCCGAAAGTATCTTCGCGAAACTCAACGGCGGGAGATATTTTTCCCAGCTGGATCTCGCAGAGGCTTACCTGCAGATACCAGTAGAGAGTCAATCGCAAGAACTCCTTACCATCAACACGGCGAAGGGATTGTTCAAAATGAAACGATTAGCTTACGGGGTAAAGACTGCGCCAAGCTTGTTCCAGCGTCTCATGGACACTATCACCAATGATCTACCAGGTACAACCGCGTACCTCGATGACATACTGGTAACCAGCTCGACAATCGAAGAACACGAGGGAAGACTAGCGAAGGTGTTTCAACGTCTCCAAGAGAACGGACTGAGAATCCGCGAAGAAAAATGCTCATTCCTCCGGACGGAAGTGAAATTCCTAGGTTTCATTCTCAGCGGCGAAGGCCGAAAACCAGATCCCGACAAAACGAAGGCGATCGTGGAGATGCCCTCACCGAGAAACATCTCCGAACTCCGCGCAGCGCTGGGCATGATTACCTTCTACAGTCAATTTATCCCGGACATGAAAACTCTGAAAGAACCAATGAACAACTTGCTCAAAAAAGATGCAGGGTTCGAATGGACACACGCATGCGAAAGAAGTTTCCAAAAGATGAAGCAATGCCTCCAATCGGACCTTCTGCTAACACATTATGATCCGAATCTACCAATCATCATAAGTGCTGACGCGAGCCAGAGTGGAATTGGCTGTGTATTATTGCATGAAATGCCTAATCAAACTCAGAAGGCTATTATGCACGCATCGCGCTCCCTTTCCGATACTGAACGCAAATACAGCCAGATCGAAAAGGAGGCACTCGCGCTCGTTTATGCTGTCAAGAAGTTCCACAAATTCATCTTCGGTCGAAAATTCATCCTCAACACCGACCATAAGCCATTACTCTCGATATTCGGCTCAAAAAACGGTATCTCAGCCCACTCGGCGAACAGACTACAACGATGGGCCGTGATTCTCCTGGATTACCAATTTGAAATCCGGTACAAGAAAACGACAGACTTCGGCGAAGCCGACGCCTTGTCCCGCCTCATCGTAGAACAACAGAGTCACCTCGACGGCAACAACGAGCTGCCCGACAAAGTCATAGCGAGCATCGAATTAGACGATGAAAACTCCCTCGACGAAAACATTGCGGCTCTACCTGTAACCAGAGACGAAATTCGAAGAGGGACCTTGTCCGATAGAATCCTCTCTCGAGCCAAAAAGTTCATCGACAGCCAGTGGCCAAAAATCTCTCGCGAAGACGCCCTCTTCGCCTTGTACTCGAGACGGAGTGAATTGAGCATCTCCGGGGGCATCATCTTGTTCAGAAACCGAGTCGTTATCCCGGCCGACCTCCAGAAGGAAGTGCTAACCACTCTGCACAACGGGCACCCTGGAGAGACGAGAATGAAAGCACTTGCGAGATCATACGTGTACTGGCCACAAATTGACGACCAAATCAAGGAGTTTGTCAGATCCTGCGATGACTGTCAGCTGGCCAGTAAGAACCCGGTAAAGATCCCATTATCGCCATGGGAAAAGCCAGAGGGACCCTGGAAGCGAATCCACGCGGACTTTGCCGGGCCAATGAAAAACGTGCATTATCTCATCATCGTTGACTCGTTCTCCAATTGGCCGGAAATCATCCCAATGAAGAAAATCACCACAGCAAATACGATCGAGGCATTTGAAAGCTTATTTACCCAATATGGTGTTCCTGAAGAAATCGTCACCGATCACGGAACCCAGTTCACAGCTCACGACTTCAAAGAATTTTGCCGTAGAAACGACATAAAGAAATCTTTCTCGGCCGTCAACTTCCCGCAAAGCAACGGGAGAGCAGAAAGGATGGTAGATACATTCAAAAGAGCTTTGTCAAAAATGCAACGAGAAGGCACCACCTCCGCAAACATCCAGAAATTCCTGAGGTCATATCGAACGATTCCATCGCGAGCCTTAGACGGAAAAACGCCTGCAGAAATGTTCACGGGGAGAAAGTTCCGAACCGAACTCGACATGCTGCTCCCACAAGCTGAAAAAACCAATGCCATTGCTTCAATACAAACTTCCAGGTATGAAGCTCGAATGAAAAAGAACTTCGATAGACATCACGGAGTTAGAGAGAAGAGCTTCGAGACAAACGACCCGGTGTATGTCCGGATGGAACGACACAACAAACAATATTGGGCCCACGGTAATGTGGAGCGGCGCAACAATGTCATGTATGATGTTGAAGTTGAAAACCGAACAACATTGCGACACGCGAACCAATTAAGACGGCGGCACACTCCAAACCAACACCGCCAAGGAGATGTCTACGACGGTCTCATGCTGGCTTTCGAAATGCCCCTACCCAAACGGAGAACGACAACCCGAGGGAGGGAGGAGACCCAAGTGGAGAAGCAGATGTTCCAGACCCCAGAGCCGATAACACCGATCATTTGTAAGATGGAAACCCTGTGCAAGAAGATTAAGGCGATGGACGGCCAAGCCGTGACCGGAGACGAACGAGATGCGCTCATGGAGTCGATCCGAGCCCTTGAAGAACAAGTAGGAGAAGCTGACCCTGAAATTCGAGCACTCTTACAAGAGACCCAACGGGTCATGAAGGAAACAGACATGAAGGCTGACGACGTTTCACAACTTCTAGAAAACTTGTCGATCCAGGAAGCACCATCTCAACCAACATCCTCCCGGTATAGCGCACATCAACAAGCAAATACCGCGCAGCAGAGCCTGGCAGACGAGATCGCGGAAGCGGTAAGGTCGGCTCGCCCATCGGTGGAAGATGTGGCCACAACCACCGCTGAACGCCCCGCGACAACCAAAACCCGAGGACCGGAAGCTTCAGTTGAAATCCCATCGACCTCGGCCAGGAGGGAACTTTTCAGAAGTGGGGCCACGAGCGATAGTGAAGAAGACCCGTCACCACTAGAACGGTCTATTTTCGATAATCAAGAGCCGATAGCGTTCAAGTCACCAGAAGAAAACCGAATCGCGCTCCCAACGCGGAACAGGAAGCGAACTTCCTTTCTCGACGTAACTCACACCAAATCCCCCCGCTACAAATCTCGCAAGAAATACTGAAATTACCATTTCCAAGTTACCACCAATAATTATTATCTTCTCTTTCTTTTGTCGGGAAGGTGTTGGGATCATGGAGTGACCCATAGAGATGCATAGCCCTCTCCCTTGAGAGTGGAGAGACAAATTCCCCTTTTTCTCCGAAATAAATACAGTCTAT